TATGGTTGTACACCATTCCCGGCTCACAATTCTGGGACCCACGAACTTGTTCATATACCCAAATACTGGTTGTCAAAAGTGACTCCCACACCCAGCAGGGGGGTGAGTGAGCGAGTGAGGGAGGGAGGGAGGGAGGGAGGGAGGGAGGGAGGGAGGGACGGAGGGAGGGAGTCCCTCTGGTTTGTGTGCTCGCCACCTTCCGTATGCTCCCATCGGCTAAAGGTGGGCTTGCGGCAGTAGGTGAGTGAGCGAGTGAGTGAGGGAGTGAGCGAGTGAGTGAGGGAGTGAGGGAGTGAGCGAGTGAGCGAGTGAGCGAGGGAGTGAGGGAGGGACGGAGCAAGTGAGTGAGTGAGCGAGTGAGGGAGTGAGCGAGTGAGTGATGGAGGGAGGGAGGGAGGGAGGGAGGGAGGGAGGGAGGGAGGGAGCGATGAAGTGACTAAGGGACTGAGCGATGGAGTGACTAAGGGAGTGAGGGACGGAGGGAGGGAGGGAGTGAGGGAGTCCCTCTGGTTTGTGTCCTTGCCGCTTTCCGTTCGCTCCCATTGGCTAAAGGTGGGCTTGCAGTGGGGGGTGAGTGAGTGAGTTGAGTGAGTGAGCGAGGGAGCGAGTGAGTGAGTGAGCGAGCGAGTGAGTGAGCGAGTGAGTGAGTGAGTGAGCAAGTGAGCGAGTGAGTGAGTGAGGGAGGGAGGGAGGGAGGGAGCGAGTGAGCAAGCGAGTGAATTCTCTAACCCCATGTCCGCTGGACCAATTCCCAGCATTCACGAGGTGGTCCCCGACGCCCATAAACTTGGCCTCGGCAGTTATCTCCAGATAATTACCGAGTACCCTGGTGTGAAAGCACCCCAAAAAGCACATGGAGTACCTCCATTGTTACAGTTATACATTGCGTAGGGAGAATGTTATGAATGGTGCTCCGGTTTGATGAGATCGTAATTCTCTATCCATAGGGTCAGTATATAAAATAGGTATACTCATAGGGGCAGTATATAAAATAGCGATCTAAAACATACAACAGTCTCCCTACGCAACGTATAACTGTCTGCAGTAGGTCTACTCATAGGGGCAGTATAAAAAATAGCGAAAAGGCTTGAATCATCTACGTAAAAGATTATTGACAACCGCCTTCGGTGATCGAACCCATTCGTACTGTGACTCGTTTCTCCATCCATCCAGGCAGAGGCAACTACACACATATAGAAAGCAATATCCCCAAAACTTATTGAAGTACCCTTAACAACCCAATCCAGTGATAGATAATACTTACTCCTGCATAGTAAGTGTACCAGCTTAATCGAAAGGCATGGGTAAGGACCAAGGTTGCATGAGTATATATGCGAGTTTTCCTCTTCAAACAGGGACAACTGCACACTGACCATGGGAGACGCACTCAGGACTGCTTGCTTGCCAGTCAGAACCGCGACATGTACCAGCAATCGGACCTGTCATTCGCGGAATGCAGTAAGGCACAAGTAGATGCCATTTTTCCACGACTAAAGCCGATGCAATACTTGTGAAGGTTCCCAAGCTGAAGGATGTGCCGATGGTACCATCGGAGAATCGCCCAGGCATGGAGTTCTTGCCGTGGCGTGCGAATGAAGCACACACTCAAAACACACACACACACACACACACACACACACACACACACACACACACACACACACACACACACACACACGTGTGTGTGTGTGTGTGAGTGTGTGCATGTATGTGGCTTGTGCAGTCGCATACATGCACAAGCACTTGCTTGCATCCTCCCTCCTTCCCTCCCATTCAGTTCCTCAACTGACCCAGCCCACACAGATGAGAAGGAGATGGTGGGGCTGGCATGAGAGTGGAAAACATGCAGAAGGTGTGAAAGGGGAGGAGTTGACAGAGGAGAGGTGGAGGGATGAGGCAGATAGGATGTGGAATCAGGCTGGCATGGAAGTGGAAAACATGGCACAGGATGGGGAGGAGGTAGGGGGAGGTGACGATTGGAGAGGAGATGAAGGTGAAGGATGCAACGGGTGATGAGATGGAAGACAAAGGGGAGTGTAAGAAATGGCAGGATGTGAGAGGCAAAGACGCGAAGAGGGAGGGTGTGTGCAGGACAAGGACGCGAACCGGGAGGACAAGCAGTATGAGAACGCGAAGGTGGAGGATATGCACAGGAGGAGGACACGAAAGCGGATCAGGGTCAAGACAGAGGGAGTGGCAACCAGGAGAGAGGTGGGACAGTGGGAGTTGGGATCCACAAAGAGAGAAGAGAAAGGGCCGTTCTCAAGGAAGCAGGAGTCGGAACAGGAGGGGAGAGCGTAGGTGAATCAGAGGAGTACAAGGAGGTGAGTGGATCAGGACATGGACAAGCACGTGTAGAAAACAATTAGCAATTGAAGCTGCTGTGGAGGCATCAGGAGGCAAGGTTGTGAAAGAGGAAGAGGTTCCTCATTGTATGTTGATATTCCCTATAATGGAATGCACATAGAAGAGGGAGGAGAGATCACTGCCACCATAGAAAGAAGGGTGGAGGTGTACCTTAACTGATCTGACCATTTCACACAGTGTGAATTGAACCTTTGCTTGGAGACAGATCAATACTGTAACGGTGCAGACCAGAACAAGAACCGACCTCTCAATACAAAGTACAAGATAGCGTAGCGGAAGACTTAGATACCAATGATCCGAACAATCAATATTGCAATGCAGCCCCGAACATACATCATCATCATCATTCCATGGTGTGAAGGGGTCTGGCGCTCACACAGGAAGACTGCGCCAGCCCCAACCATACACAGACGAAGAAGAGGGGGGTTAGACGAAGAAGAGGGGAAGATGGGGAATGTCGTCAACACCAAGTCTTCGGCACAGGCCCAAACAGTCCCTCGTCAAAATGTATGAATCCCAATGTCGAGTCTGGATCCAATGTCGTCAAGTCTCAAGTCACAACTCTCTCTCTCTGTCGTAGTCCGCTGATACTGAGAAGTTAGGTGGCGAGAGGGGAAGAAGAGATGGTGGACTTAGAAGAGGAAGAAGAAGAACTCTCTCTCTCTCTCT